ACAAAAGGAGTGAAATTTCAATCATCCTCGCTGGACGATGAGGATGAAGGGTCGCTGCCTTCTCCCTCGTTGTCAGGCTGCGACGCCTCAGCCGAAATGTTGTTGGGCTCCATGGCCCGCGATTCATCCCGGCCTTCCTCATCCCAATCGGACCCCTCGGGTAGGTCCTGATAAGATGCAAGATCAAGATCACTGGGAGCCTCAATGTGGTCCGAGGCTTCAGCCACCACTCCATGCACCGAACTCTCAGTCATGCGGGTGTCTGCTGGCGCCGGCATTTCGGACTGTCCAGGATTGCCCTCAGCCACTCCCGAGGACTTCACAAAGCGTCCTGACCGGGAAACATCTGGGGCGAAGGATCCAATGCGGACCTGACGTAGCATCTCCTCATACTCAAGCAGAGCAGGGGCCAAGACGTCGCGGGCATATGTGTCCAAACTTTTCCCGCCGGTGCTGTGATGCCCCAGCAAAGTACGTATGTACTTGTCCATGCCCCACTTCGCCGCCCACTGCAGCGTGGTGTGCTTCAGGCTGTGAGAAGAAATGTTGGACACATCAAAGCCCCCTTTCTCAAGGATCCCTCTAAGCCAAGCGGAGAGTTCTTCGGAGGTAACCGCCCGGTTCATCCAGCCACCATCCACGGTCGGGGCAGGTAAGACCTGGGAAACGGTAGGCCACACTCGCCTGCCACCTTTGCCCAGACTGGCCCCCAGGCAATAGGGCCGAGACCAACGGCCGGGGCAACCAAGGGCATGGGGATAGCCTGTTGCGCCATCTGCTTGGAGGTCTTGTGGTTCCGCGTGGTGCATTCGACAAACCCTTTTCCTGACGTCTTGATGTCCTCAAAATCGAGGTCCCAGTTTTCGCAAACCTTAAGGTCGCTGGCCCGGCTGCGACTAAAGACAGCGAAGAGACACGAGCCTGCCGCATACCTGTCGCACAGGCCGTTGTCCTCACTGACCAGAAAGTCCTCAAGCCACTTTACCATGGCCACCGTCAATGCGATCTTAGACATCTTAGATGGCCTTTGCAGATCCATGAAACTGAGGAGCCCCTTCGCCCAAGGGCTCCAGACCGGCCGATCCAGAGTTGCACTGAGACCCACAACATGCATGCTGAAGTTGATAGCTTCTGCGAATCCACGAAGAGCCCCCACGCGTTTGCCTGTGTCACGCAGATGCCTGAGATACTCATCTACGATGGCTCCCTCAAACGGAGTAGGCGATCGAAAGGGATGCGTCTGTCGACACCAAGCAAAGAACTTCAGAAGGTCGTTAGCTCTCTTGAGTACGGTGCCAACCGCCTTTTTGCCAAAGAGCTCACGAACCACTGACATGCATTGCTGCACATCACGCAAAGGCAGAGTGGCCCCTATCAAAGACGCCGAAGGAGTCTCGGCGATGATCACCAGCCACCTTTCGATTGCTCGCTCCCAACATCTGTCCTCTTTCTGTTCATCTGACTCACGCAGCTTAAAATTGACAGCTTTGCGAAACAGTTGATCCGCTGGCACCACCTTGACGCGTTTAGCAGCTCGGGAAACTGTTGAGTCAGCTGCTTCCAAGGAGACAGGCATGGGCAGCAAAGCACTGGCTTGTAGCTTCGGCAAAAGCTCACGCGATCCAAAGATAAGCTCCATGCCTCCGAGCTCCCAGGGCAGCTTGAAGTCCAACTGTGACCCACCGTGGGAATGTGAAGCATTCCTAAGAGCACTAGCTAGTAGTTCAGCATCAAAGGTGTCTGGTCGGGACTGTGCTTCTCCTTCCAGGCAAGCAGAGCTCTCCACCGCAACACCCCCTTATTCGGAAGGAGAGCGCTGCGCAGCCCGATAGTGAGCAGCCTCCTCGACTGGGTCGAGGTCGGGCGAAAAGCCATCGCCCGAACGCGGCGAGCCAGCTTCCTCAGACATATTGAGCAAAGACGAGCCTCGGCATGCAAGGGAGCAGCGATCCTGCAAGCTTGGGAAACAGCAAGAATGCACTGTTTTGGCCAGGAGCCGAAGCGCGAAGTCGGCAGCTGGAATGCAAAAATCAAAAACCGAGGGTCCGGCCCGTTGGGGGGGGCCTGGGGTCCCAAGGGCAGGCAGCAATCACGGGCTGGGGGCGGCGCACAAGCGAGCAACCTGTGCACGGAGTTCCGACAGCCGCGCCGCAGTAGTTTGCTGAAGTTCATGGAAGCAGCGGCGAAGGCACAGCACCTCAGCCTCGGCAATTTGTAGCCTCTGGCATAGCAAATGCAGAGCACCGCAATAAGACGGGTCCTCCCCGAGCTCACGGACAGCCCCTGAGTCAGCCAAGCGCAAGTTTAAGACGTCTCGCTCGACGTCAGTTAGACGTCCTTGCAAAAACCGCAAATCTTCCTCACAGTGGGAGCAGACCGATCGAGTTGATCCGCAGCAACACGCAGTGCCTGAGCCGCAGCAGAGCGGCTGGAGAGGGCCCGGACCGGGCAGGCGGGGACCGGGATCGGCTTGGAGCACGTGCCTGGGCAGCTCCGAGGCGCCTTATGTAAGCTTGTTGTGAATCAGAGAGGAACTCCATGCCGAGGCGGAGGCAGCAAGTTAACGCTGGCCAGCACAGAGCAGGCGCAAGCGATTACAAAAATGCTCAAGCACAGACAAGCGATCGCCTTGGCTGCGAGAGCGCTGCTCAAGCTCCTGTAAGCGGCTCTCCGCCTGTCGCACCCTAATCTCGAGGGCCTCGATCTGCCGATAAATCAAGTAAGACGAGGGCACAGAGTCACTGCTGGAAGCAGAGCCAACGGGAGCCTCCGCTGACATCCGATGGTCAGACCGTCTTGCACAGCCTACAACACCAGGTTAGCACCTCAGGCCTCGTAGAAAGCTCTAGGAGAGTATGCCATATTGGCATCCCCGCCGATCAAATCGACTTGATAGTACAAGCAGTCACAAATCATCGTTCCCAACGCCTCGTGGGCTAAAGCAACTTTTGTAGCCGCGATGAGACTGTTCAAGTGGAACGTACATACACGGATACGGTCACTTCCAGCTCTGGTGAGTGTGGCTATTAGGTCCGAATCATTGAAATCCTGCCGATAGCCCTCTTGTCCTGCTGGC